GTATTCTAAAAATGTAACGCTAGTGTCTATGAATTATATTTAAAAGGCTTTTTTTTTTAAATATTGATTAGCCAAAAGTTATTTCATTAGTCAGAATGTCAGATCTCTGTGGGGCACGCTGTATACACCGTATACACCAGGGATGGCCAACGAGATGAGACTCGCGAGCCACCAAATATATTAATAAATAYGGAAGAGCCAAAATGTAACAAAAAAAGGTCACATTATTATATAATTGTTGTATATATATAATGATATTGTAAATAAGATAAGATAAGCCAGATAAGGTATCGTAACGGATGATCATTTAACTGAATTGTTAAGGACTGCGTTAACAACATATAGTCCTGATTTTAAAAAGCTTACAASCAAAATATACACGCAACAAATAAGAAAATAGTAAATAAAGAAAAATGATATCAAGAACACTTTATTTTTACAAATTATTTCTATACACTGTAATTTAATAAAATACCTATTACACTTTTTCAAATACATAAATTAATGTTTTCAAATTTTTTGTAAAAATGTTACGATAAGATGCGAGCCGCTAAAGTCTATGACGCGATTTGGCCACCCCTGGTATATAATATAAGAAATTAGTCACCATAAGACTTTTTTTTTATATCATTCGTGCATTTTTGCTGTATCGAAGAAGATTAGTGCAGTCAGTTGGCCAATAAATGCCTGTACTTCACCATAACGGYCGTTGACACAGCCAGTGATACTTGGCTTTTTGAGCAATACTTAATCAGCTCTTTGGTTGTGTTTAATTAGTTAAATATTTAATTTTATAACAAAATTTTAGTGCGTTATTATAAGTTCAAAAAGTAATCATATCAATTTGAACTTGTACAAATTTATACATTTGAAGATTTCACTGAAGACGCATGCAGCAAGTGAATGTAAGGAGAATATATTACGACGATATKCATGAACAGACTTCTTTATTATCTTATAAGTACAATAATTTGTTTTTACAATTTATAATCATTATTATTAAGTACAATTTTGGTCATACAGCAAACTTAAGGGACCACAAACATCTTAATTATGTATATAATATACAGTTTAATAAACAGTATAATTTTATAATATAGTCATATTCATATATCATCTTTTTATTAAAAGAAATTTTAAGATATTCTAAAATGTTTCTTTGGTAAGTAAGTATATAACATAATAACTGATCGAGTTTCTAATACAGATTAAATAAATTACTTAATACAATTGTTTGAAGTCATGAAACGTCTATAAATTATAGTATGAGAATAATTATAATACATTTCAATTGATTTAAGAAAAATAATACAAAAATAACAAATAAATGTATAATAAAGATAATGTATTACATATTTTTGTAAACATTTTTAATAAATAGAAAACGTCTAAAGATTTAAAAATTTAAAAATGTAAGTACAAAATCACTTAAGTGCATTGATTAGTGCGTTGAAGCATCACTTATTGACTAGGGTGTGTTCGATTTATGTTTAAAAAAAGTACTCGAATAGGATACATTATATTATTTTTTTATATGTATAAATAATAATAATAATAATAATAAAAATAATAAAAAAAATAATGATAATAATAATATATAAATACAAATTCATACAGACATTGCACATATTTCGTCTCATAGACGAGTAAAATTTGTTTTGGATTTTATAGATAATAAGTTGCACATAAACATAATAATATGTTAACCTAATTGTTTTGGTTATTACAATTTTTTCATTAATAATTATATTYGAATAAAATTAAAATTAGACTAGAATTTGATTAAAAACAACGTTAAAAAAAGATCAATTGTTTCGAGAGAGCGTTAAATATGAGCTTTATTCGTTATCCTTGTTCAAATAAAAATAAAAGTAGTGGAGGTACATAATATTTAGGTAGTCTTAAAAAATTAATTAAGTAAACAACAGAGAACCACTGATATACAAATTTAAATATAGGTATCTAATTAAAAGTATACAAATCCAATATCTATTGGCTAGTCACGAAAAATGTTCAGATAGAGAGTGATTATTAAATTAAATATAGTTACATTTAAAATTGTATGTACATCAAATATATAACATTTTATAACATTAAAACTCATGAGTCATGATAAACAAACCACGATTTGATCGATTAATATAATATTATAAGTAAACTATTTTATGTATAGGAGATATACATAAGATTTGGATTCTTTACAAAATATAACAACACTATAAATATATCTTTGGTTTTCTATCAAAAAAAAATAAAAATAAAAATGCAGCAAATAAGTGGAAAATATATTTAGAGTTGGTAAACTAACGTATTACAATATTAATAGGTCGTGTCTATAGTTTATAATCTAAAATCGTGCCTACCTATGCATGCAGTACACAACTCAATATTTAAACATTTAGATTAAAACACTGTATAGATATAGGGTTCTGACATAAATTATTTAAGTCACATGTATACATAAGCAATATATTATTATGTATGTGTAGATATACGTATACAACGTTTAAAAACAAAATAGGTAATAGAAATTGTCGGTAMTCGTTAATCGGTAATTTTGATGATTTTCACGATATCTGTCTATAGTTCTGTACACGCACTATCAACGCGCTTGAAAAATAAAAATAAGAACCAATTTTCGTTGAACTCTCCGTAATATCGTACGATGAGTATCAATAGGTATCTACTCTGCAGGGTGAGTATCGTTGTCGTGACGACATACACAGACACATACCTACCAACTATAGTACCTACACCTGCTATGCCTTAATTAATACAAATCGTTTTTGTGCATAATATCCTACGTAATAATTTTCGGACATAAGTGCGTTGTATTATTTATAACGGTAATAATATTGCATCGTTATAATTATTTTTTGATGATGGCTGGGCCGTGGCGCGGACGTTCTCTCTCCGTGTGGTCTCCTCTAACTTATGCCGATGTACGGCGACGTCACTGCGCCCGGGTTGTTGGCCTGGCACGGCGATGACGCGCTGCCCAGCGGCGACGAGGCACTGGCGCAGGCCGCCGAGTTCGCCCTCGTGGCCGCCACCGGCGATCTGGCTGCCATGCTGGCGCTGCTGCCCGTCTCGTTGCCGCAGATCTCGTGCGCGTTGTTATTGTGGCCGTTGCTGTTGTTGTAATAGTAACGGTGATCTGTAACATACAACAAAACAACGGTGTTATAGCATAAGTTATCATGATATGGGTCGCTTTGGACATAGCACCGATATTGTATCGCTATGATATTATAATTTAGGTGATGCGTTTTAACGAAATCGTGGCCAAAATGTCAGACGACCGACCAGAAATCCGGTCATAAAATAGGTATAGGTTTGTTAAAAAGGGAGACTATAATATATAGAATTATTACTCTGTGAGTGAAACGGATACCTCCGTCTTACAAGCATACACTGCCATCGCTCCCCGCATTAATTCTTTGTGGTTATATATCATGGTTAATATTGGTTTCGCAGCCTTAGTAGATTGTATGACATACTGAAGGAAAGTAGTATACTCGTGTTCTGTCAGCAGAACCATTATTTAGCATTCTGCAGATGATTAAAGTTTTATTATTTGTCAGAAATAATATTTGAAATATTTTCAGTTTACTATATGCATAATGAAAATGTTAAGGAACTTTTTAATAAATCCTGCATGAAATTCAATTATTCTAAAAAAAATTCGCAATAGGACGTTATCTACATTTGCATTAATCTAATATCAGCTGCAATAAGTAAACTATGGAAAGCTGCTGATTTTGAAGAAGTATATACCTGCAGCGTTTGCGTATGATGGATACGAATGTTTCGTCATTGCATTCCCTC